GAATTCCCATGCATGAACAATATATACTCACAGGGAACATTGCAAGACAAGCCTCCAGGACAGCATCCGAAATTACCATATAATAATACAACAAACATGAGACCTCCAATACAAGGGGCAAGGTTGCCCGATCAACTACGTCAATCTCAAATGGCAAAATCTCAATATTCTCAATATCCGCAAATGCCTACAGATAATTTTGCCTGGAATTCTAATGGGAAGTCTTTCAGCATGGATCCCAGATTTCAAGGATATCAATATGAAGACGAATATTATGGAGATTACAATAATCCATATGGATATAATCAAAATCCCGATTATTGGCTAAATGAAGGTAAGAAATTGAACAGAAATTTAACTTTATTGCAACCTGTATTATTAAATCAAAATTTAGCTAATCTTTGTATTTAATACATAGGAAATTCATATTCATTCTATCCTCCATATTTCGATCCATATTATTATCCAAATCAGGAATTCCTACCAAATCCAGCATTATATCACAATTTCCCACAAATGTATTCTGACTGGAATGCACCATCACCTCAATTTCCTAATGTCTCTCCTCCTTTTGGTAGCATGGGTGCTAATGTAAATATGGGTCGTGGCGGGGGACCTATACCTTTTAGAGGCCGTGGTAGTCCCACCAACAATTTTGGAAATTTCAGCGGTGCAACTCGTCCTATTAATCGTAGAGGGCGCAACCGCGTTAGAGGCTATCAAACGTTTAGTGACCGTCCATTTGATCCTGGATTTGCAGGCAGTGAGAAACGTAAAGAAAATGAGGAATTAATATCATATAATCGAAGAGAAGGGTAATTATAGTGTTAAAATATTCTGGTTTTTATACGTGCGTTTCTTTTTTCTCATATGAACAATTTTTTACAGGCAAGAGGTAACAACAATTTATCGTCAAGAAGGAATTAAAGATGAGCAAGTTGATGATTTCGGTCGTGATATTGCTAGAAGAATGTCATCTACATCGAGGCCTATGAGCAGGAATGAAACCAGCATTCCAAAATCTCCTTCTCACTATTCAGATCTGGATAGACGACGTGATGAATCAAGAGGAGAAAGTAAAGAAAAAAGGAGCTGTGAAAGATCGTCACACAGAAGTTCACGCCATTCTCGTCACCATTCAGCAAGGCGGTCGCCGAGCAGGCATGGACGCTTACCAAACGAGCGGAGAAGATCACGTTCACATTCACATTCACGACGTCGAAGTCCTAATTATAACTCGGATCAATATCACAGAGATGATCGACGTCCACATAGAACTAGTGATAACCAAGAATCCTACTATAATAGGCTTGATAATGACTTGTTAGTGGTCCCTAGTGATATTGTTGAAAAACAAGATAATTCAAATAAAAGCCGCCGATCACGATCAGCATCACCTCGAATGCAAATGGATGATCGTGTTCCACAAATAGATAATGATAGACGAGAACCATCGATTCAAATTGAGGAAGAATTAGATGTTGATCAACGTCGGGCTCGTTCACCAACACCAAGACCATTGACTGGTATGTCAATTGAACATGAATCTAAGGAAGAAATTGAACGTAAAGTGGAAACTGTCGTAAATCTAAGAGAATCGCAGTCCCCTGAAGAAGACGTGTCATCTGTTCGTGGTGGTGAAAATGAAACTTATAATGATGA